TCTGGAGAAGAAAGAAAAGCAGCATACAAAATAAAAATGCACCAGGTAAAGTAAGGCAGGTTTCACCACGTGGCCAGACGCTGACCCGGATATGGGCATGTGTACTTTGGGACCCGTGGCCATGCCCTGAATGTGAGCACGTGCCTTTCTGAGCGCTCCCGAGGTCCGCATCAGAGCCGGGATGCCCAGGAGTCTGGACAGAGTTTGGAGGGTGTGCGCAAAAGCCACGTGTAACCAAGCGCGCTCTTTCCTTCCGAGGCAAAGCCCTGCCATCATCTCGTGCTGCTGTCTGTCTGTCGTACAGGCTTGCAAGCAAATCTGTTGACTCTGTGGCGAGTCTCAGTGGAGACAGCAGGCTCTGTCTCTAATGTAAATGTTTAGACTGTGTTTCTCAGAAGCTCTTGGAGGCAAATTATCTATATCTTTTATAAAAACTCTTCAGCGTCTTACTATAATGCAGACACGAATATTCATCTCTCAGGGAACACTCAGCGATGATTTTTAAAAGTTTGATTATCAATGGTAGAAATTTGCTTGAATAAATGAAGTACCTGGGATTACTCTTTGAAAACAGATGTCCTCAAACTTCTTGAAGAATGACTAGATTGTCTAATTTCAAATACTTCTAAAGGAATAACTATCTAATCCTTAAGTAAGCCCATTAAAAAAACAGGGATAGAAACAGAGCATGCAAACCAGAAGGAACACAGCATCTAAACTCGTACCAAACGAGTGGATTATGCAGCAAAGAGATCGACAGAACAGGGAAGAAACTGTAGGGTCAATGCACCAAGAACACAGAAATTGTACAAGTGTGGGCAGAACTCAGTCTCCAAATACAAGGAGCAAAAGCTATCAAGCAGAAAGGAGAAGGGATTTTGGAGCCCTCGGAGGGCTTGTCCTCCGTCCCCATCCCTGGTCCCGCTCCCGGGTCCACCTCCTCTCCGGGGGAAAGCATGCCAGTTAAGACAACTTCCCGCTGCTACGTACAGGGACTAGGACAGTCAGGCTGCTCAGTCTGACCTTGAATTGACGACATCCCAGGGCGTCCTTCATGCCACCAGGACCCTGCCCCACGTCCCCGGCCACCTCCCACTTTCAGCCTTCCATTCCCTCCCCGCACTCCACCGCCACCTCATGCTCCTTTCAGCTCTTCTCCTTCCTCTCTGATGGCTCAGCCTTCATTATTCTGACCTCTCAAGCCTCAGGCTTCTAACTGGTCCTCTGTCCAGCAGGGCCGGACTCACTGCTTTGGAAATTGCCACCAATCTCACGGTTTCAAATTCAACAATCTATTTGTTTCTTAATGCTGCCCGACCGATTACCACAAACCCGGTGACCTAGAACAACAGAAATTTATTACCTCCTCTTAACTGATAACATCCTCGAAGACATATTTTAAAACGTGGTGACATCCCTAGGTTCCACACACGTGACTTTCCGCTGACACTGTCCACGCCACCCAGTTCACCCTCTGCCTCCAGAAGTCCGCATCCATCCCACCTACAGAACCCAGCCAGCTCATCTCGACCCCCTCCACTCCAGAATTAACTCTAAATCCAAGATCTCATCTAAATACCATCAATTCAAAAAGCTTCAAGTCTCATCACCTACTTGTCCAAACGGCCCAGACGGATGACACTGGCCAAAATTCCTCTCCACGTGTGGCTCTTTTAAACTAGACAAGGTGGGGTCTGCTCCCCAAGTCCACAGCGGGAGAAGTTGGGCATTCCCATTCCAAAAGGAGAGACTGAAGAAATAAAAGAATCATGGGTCCCGGGTGAGCCCCACCCCTAGCAGGTGGGGTCCCAGGAAGATTTGTCCTCTGTCTTTCCCTGGGGGCCCTTCGTCCAGCTCCAAATTGTTGGGTTGACCAGGACACAATGACTCTGAGGTCCCCAGGTCCAGAATGCGGGTTTCTGATGCCACCAGCACCCCTTCCCAGCCCACTTTGTCAAGTTCCATCCTCCCTTCTAAACCTCAGAATCCCACCTCCATCAAGAGACGCTGTCCCTTCCGAGCTCCCCGACCCCTCCAGGCACACAGGGCGATGGCCCTTGCTGGTCCGCACCCTTCCTCCCGGCTCCTCCCCTCAGCCAGGCTCTTCCACATCTGGTAAGACTCCACTGAAATGCCACCACCCCTGAAGTTTCTTCTGACCACATAGGCACCCGCTGGGACACAGACGCCCACTGCCCGCCATGGTCCAGTCTGGCCAGCCGGTGAGACCCCAGAGCCAATGTGAGAAGGTGCTTGGTAACTATGAACTAAAGGGACAGCTGGACCCCCTGCTGCTCTCATCTGTAGGTTAAAGCCATTTCCAGCATCCTTATCAGCAGTAACTCCCTAAGGCACCCCCAATCCTGAACACAGAACCGGGGGGCTCACCCAGCAGGAAATCTGACGGAGCGACAATTAGGTTCCCTGTCCCCACCCATGCCTCCCCTAGCAGGGAACACTGAAGATTCAGACAGTGCACCACCGAGTCCTGAAATGAGGTCCCCCACATTCCTTGCCTCTGGGGAGTTAGGACCTTCCTGTTCAAAGTCCGCTGTGGCATGAAAGCCTGACAGCCACAGCTCTGGGATACAGCAGGGAGGGCTCGGTGCTCCCAACGTCCATCCGCACTGCGGGGGAGAGAGACCCTGGGGTGGGGGTGGGGGGCAGGTCCCCCAGGGCCTGGACAGAAGGGAGGCCAGGAGGCTGATGTCATATGGGGACAGGTGCCTGTGAGCAGCGGCAGTGGGCTCAAAAAAAGCAGAGTCTCCTGTCATCTGCTTACGACGACAGGCTGACCCCAGAGGTCACTAAACATAACCAGGCCAGCTGAATTTTGTTACAGAGAGGGATCTACTCTGCCCTGTTCTTTCCGTGAAATAAAATTGAGCGCATACTGAAACGTAATTTCTCCGTACGTCGCTGCCCACTGCCGCAGACCCACCCGTCTGGTGCAGGACTTCAAGACAAGGGACAACCGTCCCACCGCCACCCGCGGTCGAGACTGTTGCTGAGCTCACCGCGGAGGCCGGGGTGCAGCAGGCGCCGCGCCCGGCTCTCCCGCGCCCTCTAGGGCCCCCGCGCCGCACCCGGGCCTGCTCCCCCGCCGCAGCCAGAGAAGGACCCAGGTGTTCCCGCGGAGCTTCCGGGCCTCCACTCGGCATGACGACGCGGCGAACGTGCCACGGCGCGGCTCCCCTACGACGCTGTCCTAAACACAAAGGCCGACCTCAGGGACCTTTGCACAACCGGCTCCAGTCTCAGAATCGAGGTCTCAGCGGATGGCGAAGGAGAACGTGCAACCCCTCTGGGCATTTTCTGCTTCCCCTGATTTTCCAGAGCAATCGGAGGCCAAAGCAGCTGACACGCAGCTACAAGGAGGGATGCACGGGAGGGGGCAGCCAGGAGGTCGTACACAGTGTAGGGTAAAGGGGGCGGGTCTCCAGAGCCTGCGTGTCGGACCTAGGGGACAGGCGAGCACGCCTCTGCGGAGCCGGGGACGCAGGCCGCTGGGTGTCTCTCACCTTCCTTCCTTGGAGAGCCTGAAGTATGACTCGTTTCTCTGCTGTCTGTGTATCTGCTGTGAGCAAACCGGCCTTCCCGTTCTAAGGGAGGGCACGCACGCACTCCTACCTCTGCACGCGCCTACACGCAGCGAGGGCGGACGAGGGTGCACGCTAGCTTCACCCACAGCTGTGCAGGCAGGGCAAGGGCCCGGGGGCAGGGGGGAGCGTAAGGGGGTCCCGGGGTGCGGTTTCTACTGCAAATTGTTCAGTGCTCCTCCAAGACACCTGTCCACTTCCTAGGACAAGACTCTCTTTCCAGCAGCGTCCGGGAAAGTACCCTCGCGCGGGGGTCTCTCCGGCTCGCAAAGCTGAGCCACAGGCTCCCGGCCCTAGAGCCTTGCGCAGGGCAGGGCGCGATTCAATCCTGGACCGCCGGCGCCCTCTGTTGGTCACCTCTGGGAGGGGCGCGCGGACACCTTTACAAACCCCGCGCGGGAGCGCGACCTCAGGGCTCACCGCCGCGCATAGACAGGCGAGAATCCCAAACTATCCCCACGTCGACGCACAGGAGAGCACCCAGTACAGGGATGCACGGTGGCCTGGGGAAATGACAGTAAAAATGATCTGTTGCACGGACCATTTGGTTATTAAGGACACCTCGGCCGAGCTCGCTTTACTGCGTTTACCATCGTTTCGTTGGGGCGTCAACTCCGCCTGAAAACACAATCCGGGAGCATGACTGGGACAAGAACCGTGGTGATGTGAGCGCTCCGACAGGCCTGCTAAGGACCCACTCGGGCCGGCCCCCTCTGCCGGCGGGGGACTTTGGGTGACACGCCCAGGCGGTCTTCACGGCTGTGCGAAGCGAACCTGAAAGGCCCGGAGACCACGTGCGCACCTCCAGTTGCGCCTTTGGACGTCCCTGGAGGAGGTGGGGGAGTGGGCGCGGACGGCCCCGCGGGGGCAGAGGAAACCAGACACCTCGATGCGAATCAGGTATTCCCACTCAAAAACGTCCCACGACCTCGCGGACCCGAGGACTCCCATTCTGGAAAGCTTCGCAAAGTACACTCGGCGAGGAGCGGAGCACGCCCGTCTCCCCGACACCAGCCCTCCGCGGGGCGACCTCACCCCGGCCCGCAGGGAGAAGGGCGGCGGCGGCGGCGGCGGACTGGCGAGGGGCGCCAGGAACGCCGGGGTGGCCGGAGGCGCCGGGAACGGCGGGGTGGCGGGGCCGCCGAGTTCCCAGGGACTGCGGGGTGGCGAAGGGGACGGAGGCGCGCGTCGAGCAGGTGCCTGGGCGCCCGCGCGTGCTGCGCGCCCCCGCCCCCAGCCCGGCGGCCCCGGGTGCGGCGGGAGCATCGAGCCTCGTGCGCGCCGGCCCGCCCCCTCCCCCCCCACCCCGCGCGCCGTTCCGGGGCGTGTCCTCGGCCACCCGGCTTCTATATAGCGGCCAGCGCGCTCGGGCCGCCCAGATGCGAGAACGGCGGCGCCGCGCACACCCCTGCTCGCTGCCTTCCGCCGTCCCGCAGCCTCGCGCCGCGCGCCTCCTGCCGACCCCCGCGCGCCCCGGCCGGACGAACAGCGGGCCCCCGCGGTGGGCGCCATGCAGCGGGCGCGCCCCGCGCTCTGGGCCGCGGCGCTGACCGCGCTGGCGCTACTCCGCGGGCCGCCGGCCGCACGGGCCGGCGCGGGTTCGGCGGGCGCGGGCCCCGTGGTGCGTTGCGAGCCGTGCGACGCGCGCGCTCTGGCGCAGTGCGCGCCGCCGCCCGCCGCGTCCGCGTGCTCCGAGCTGGTGAGGGAGCCGGGTTGCGGTTGCTGCCTGACGTGCGCGCTGCACGAGGGCCAGCCGTGCGGCGTCTACACCGAGCGCTGCGGCGCCGGCCTCCGCTGCCAGCCGCAGCCCGGTGAGCAGCGCCCGTTGCAGGCGCTGCTGGACGGCCGCGGGCTCTGCGCCAACGCCAGCGCCGCCGGCCGCCTGCGCGCCTACCTGCTGCCAGCGCCGTCCGCGCCAGGTGAGCCGGCCGGCCTCGGGCGGGGGCTGGGGCGGCGCCGCTGCGGGGACCACTCTCGCCCCGGAAACCGGGGCGCGGAAACCGGGGCCCCGAAAGCGAGGGCGCTCGCCCGCGGCACGGCGTGCAGCCGGCCCACTGCGGAGTGTTGGCTAATTACGAAGCGCTTTCGGCAAAACTGGGTCCAGGGTTTTCCGGGCAGGGAGCGAGGACACGAGGTTGTCACGACCGATGCCATACCGGGGAGCCTCCCCCCCCCCCGCTCTTGGCGCGGGCATAGCGCGGGAACGTGGGCACGGAGCGTGCGGCCCACCTCGGGAACGCGGCTTCCGTGTCCCGCAGACTGGGAGCGAGCGCGTCTACGCAGAGGATGCGGAGGGAAATGGGGAAGCTGGGAGGCGGTGCGGCCGGATTCGGACTGGAGAAGGTGGGCAGGCACGTTGTAGGAGATGGTTGCGGTTTAAAAATGCCAACACTTGCACAGACCTAGTTTGCGAAGCAGTGACACGCCTCGGGGTGCGCCAGAAACAGTAGGGTGGGAATCGGGTATTGGCATCTTTTGCTTTGGGCAACCTGACTTTCGGAAGGAAGTGACTCCCCTAAGGTCCCCCCAGAGGCAGGGAGGAACGTGGGGGCTGAACTCGGTGTGCCAAGTCCTGCATCGTCCCCCTGGCGCATCCCGTCCGCCCCGGTGCTTGGATTTCCCCAGACAAACGCCAGGTGCCAGGGCTTCAGGGAGCGCGGACTCAAAGATTTCGGGGATGGTGAAGGGGGGTTGCGTAAACCTCAGGACTGTTTGCCACTTAATCCGAGGTGGAAGGGATGAGGTCCCGTTCCTGGGAGCCTCCAAAGGACAGAGGCTCACGTTTGGCAGAGTTACGCCACTGGCTGAGCCACTGTCAGTCGCGTGGCTCCCTGAAGGACATCACGCCGATCCCTGAGAAAGCAGCGTAAATGGAGACCGCAGCTGTTGCTGCAGATTTCCAGCAGGCTTGGCCAGCCTCCCTGGGTTCTGGGAGTCCGGCTCCTGCAGAGCTGGAGGCCGCGAGAATTCTGCCCTGGCCTCCAAGGCACCAGGCTGGACAGAGTTAGTGGCAGGCCCCCACCCTGGCCTGGCAGGAGGGAAGTCCCTTTGTCATTTTTGGGTTCTGCACATTTCCTCTCCCAGCTGAGGCTCTGTCTCTGCTAGGCAGGGCTGGCTCTGGATCCCAGAGAAACAGGCACCATCCCAGGATTGGTGGGAAGGCAAAATTCCTGTTGTTTAAAACATGCACTGTTTTATCACAGTGGATTTTAAGTTGCTAGGTGCGTTTGTCCCTGAGCAGTTACGTCGTTTGCCCTGTGCACTTTGTTTCTAGCGTGTTTTCTGGGTATTGGAAAAGTGATATTAGAAGTTCTTGGGGGCGCTGCTCGTGTCAGTGAGCACGGGAATGGTGCTTTTTAGCTTAATAGCTACACAGTGTGGGTTGATGTGTTTTATTGTAATGTGATTAGACGACCTAAGGTTTTACAAGACGTAAAATCCGTGGGTGTGGGGAGGTACATTTAAATGGCGGTCAGAAGTTAAGATTATCTGTTGCTTAAATGCAGAGGTTTTGTGTTTCTGCTGAAGTCAGCAGGCATTAGAAAGAAAACCTGGGCGGTTTAAGAAATTACTCAGTTCTTGGAAAAGAAATGCAAATATGTTTATTTACATACTTTTAGCATCTCCTTTGTCCCCAGTACTTCCCTGAAAAGGGAGGAAAAAACCCTAAGGTTAAAGGACATTGAAACCAAATTCTACCAATTAAAAACCGACGGTATCTGGCGCTGGGCTAATCCGTGCTGGTGCAGATGCCAGACGCCTTGGGAGCTTGGCCGCCCCTCCGCCTCCAGGGACTGTCTGTTCCCAGGTGAGGAAGTGGAGTCCCAGGGAGGAGAGGGTGTTTGCCCAGCCCCTGGTGAGCGCACTTCGCTGGGCGCATCCTGGTAAGAGCCTGTCCTCCAGCCAGCCTCGGGAGCATTCTCCAGGAGATACTGCACCCATCCCCTAGAGCCAGAGGTCTCGGCCGGCTTCCCTGGGGCTGCCACCATTCATGAGGGGCGGGGCCCGAGGAGGGCACTCAGCACCCCCACGTGTGCCAGTTTCATGAGCCAAGCCCCTCCCAAGAGGGAGGCAGGCTGCCTGTGGAATGAAGCGATCGTGTGACCCACTGCAGCCCTTCCCCATAGCCAGTCAGCCCCACCTGTAGTCCTGCACATGAAACCCCCGTGATGCGGGGACATTTGAACACCAGTGTCAGGGCCTCGGTTCTCTTTATTTTAGCACGTTGGTCTCAGAGCAGTTTCTGGTGGTGGCGGGGGAGGGCCTCTCAAGGACTGAGTGCTCGGGCACGCACAGAGTCTGTGCAGCTCTGGGGCATTCCAGCCCGTGAGTGGACAGGGAGTTAGAGATATGACATCTAGACCCATCATACGCCACCCTACACGCCCAGAGCCAGGGGACCTGCAGCCAGGCGTGGAGAGGAGTGAGGTTTCTGGGCCAGTCTGCCTGATGGCACAGGACAGCGCGGATATCAGAATCCCTGCGGGGCTTGTGGACCCCTCCCCCAGGTGGCTGTCCCCACCTGGCGCTTCTGACTCAGCAGGTAGGGCAGAGGTGTGCTGGTCCCCAGTGCCAGGAGGCTGCACTTGGGGTGGCCTGCAGGGCATAAATCCTGGGCACCATCGCGCCTCAGGCGTGCCCCCTGCCGGCGGAGGGCGCCAGGCGCTGTGAGAACCCTTCCCGGCCCATCCCCACCACCACCTCAACTCTGAAAGGACACATCAGATTTCATTCTAGAAAGCGGGCTTCCTGGGGCAGAGTGGCAGCCGTGCTCTGCTGGTACCGTGGGACAGTACTTTATGCCGGTGTTTTTTAGGTTATTTGGAATTGCTGGATGACATTTCCATCCAGCGGGGGCTTGGTCGCCAGGGGTTAAGATTTTGAAAAGATTGTTGGTAACCGCGGATGGCCATCACACCCTTGTGTCCCTTGCACTTTCCAAGGAAACAGCAGTGAGTCGGAGGAAGACCACAGTGCAGGGAGCGTGCAGGGCCAGGCTGTCCCCAGCACGCACCGGGTGCCCGACGCCAGGCTCCAGCCCCTGCACACCAAGATAGACGTCATCAAGAAAGGGCACGCCAAGGACAGCCAGCGCTACAAGGTGGACTACGAGTCCCAGAGCACCGACACCCAGAACTTCTCCTCTGAGTCCAAGCGGGAGACGGAATACGTGAGCCTCCTCCTTTCGGGGGCAGTGGGCTGAGTGTGGAGGGACCCTTCCCACTACGGGGTCTCATGGGGCTCCAGGTGGAAGGACGTGGGCAGGGGCGCCCTGAGACCGGCAGTGTTCTGTTCGCCTGGTCTCTCGGTGCCCTGGCCTGTGGCGACTCTCTCCCGGGTCCTAGGCCTTGCTCTGGGGACCTCACGGGAGACGGGGAGCCATGGTTGGTATCATGGTGGGGATGGCCCAGCAGGTCCCTCCACGGATGCATGGGACGCTCTGAGGCCGCGCGCTCCCGAGTAACCGTGGCTCCCCCGCACCGCAGGGGCCGTGCCGCCGGGAGGTGGAAGACACGCTAAACCGACTCAAGTTCTTGGACATGCTTAGCCCCAGGGGCATCCACATCCCCAACTGTGACCGGAAGGGTTTCTACAAGAAGAAGCAGGTAAGTGGCAACCTCACAAGGTTCCCTCCCCCGCTCCCGCCGCCCACACCTCCCCTGACCCGCAGAGCCACCGAGCACCACCCCCAGAGGTCCCTGGTCTAACTAAAGGGCCAGAAAGCTTCCCCGAGATCCCCTCTTGGTCCCCCCTCGCCCATCCTTCCTGGGAGTCGTAATATGACTGGGGGGTCATTACTTTAGGGCAGGGTAAGCACGTCTCTAAACACGAACCACCCTGTGACGGCAGCACCCACAGTTCTTGCCACAGTAGTTGCAGAATGGGTGAGGCCACGGGCCTCCTGGTGTCTGTCAAACCTCTCGGCCATCAGCCATTAGACAGCAGCGTGCCGGCGCTTCCCCATAGGTCCCTTGCTCGGCAGAGGCACACTAAGAGCCCATCTGTGCGGCTCTGCAGGCGCCCTGAGACAGGTGCACCGGACAGGGGGACCCCCTCACCCCCTCGGGCTGCTGGTATGCCTGCAGGGCGATGGGGGCCAATGTCCACCTGAGACCTGAGGGGCGCAGAACCGCCCCTCCCTGCTTCTCCAGAGCACCCCCCTCCCCCACACGCATGGCCTCCCTGGGGGCCTGCTGCACTCTTGGCCCTGGGCACCCGGCCCTTGGCCCGGGTTCACTTTGTGCTCCCCCGCAGTGCCGCCCTTCCAAGGGCAGGAAGCGAGGCTTCTGCTGGTGTGTGGACAAGTACGGGCAGCCACTTCCCGGCTTCGACGCCCGGGGGAAAGGCGACATTCACTGCTACAGCATGGACAGCAAGTAGACGCTGCTCACCACGTGCACCGGGGGGCTGGGCCCCGGGGCCGCAGCGGCGTGTCTGGGGAAGCGGGAACAGACCCCGCAGGAGGGTGCAGGGGGCCCCCGACCCACCTGTGGCAAGCAGCCCTGGGGAAACAGGGCCTGGGGTCAGGTTGTCTCAGAGGCACTTGGAGTCCCTTGGAAGACCTTGGACTTGGACCTGTGCACGGTCACACCCATGCACACAGGGAAGTCCGACAGCCAGCCTTCCCGGCACGGCTGCCACTGACTTGTCCTCACAGGCAGACTGTTGGAAACCACGAGGACTTGTGAAAGGAACGTGCTTCCCACTCACAAGTGTGGCTGGTTTTTCTCTGTAAAACGTAACAGATATTTTGATAGTCTGTGATTGATACCATTGTAATAAAGTTTATTTTCACTTAACACAAAAATGAGATTTTAAATGAGATTTATGACGTTGAAGAGTTGCTTTGGTGTTTGGTACTGCTTTGTCCAGAAACGGGAGAGCCATTGGGGAAAACAGAATAAAGGTGTTTCGTCTGGAGACAAATCTAAGTAAACAGAAGAAATTTTTTTTAAAGATTTTATCTGTTTATTTGACAGAGGGAGGGACCACAAGCAGGGTGCGCGGGAGAGGGAGAAGCAGGCTCCCTGCTGAGCAGGGTGCGATCCCAGGACCCTGGGATCATGACCTGAGCCGAAGGCAGACGCTTAACCCACTGAGCCACCCAGGCGCCCCAAAATTTTCATTTTTAGCTACAATATTTATTTCCCCACAAGCTGGAAAGAAAGAATTCAAGGTTCTGGGTGGCACTTGGGGACGTGGCCTCTGCCTACGTCTCACCTCTGGCAGGTGCTCCTTGGTGACAGTGTAAGGCCAGCCCCCATACCCCGCAGCCAGAGTCTCAAGCCGAGGGTCCCCCAGGGTCCCCGGGCAGTTAAGCCTTTCAAGGTGGAGGAGTTATTTCAATATATTCCTTTTTCTGTTTGTTCACCATAACGTGGAGCTCAGAAACGCCTTACTTTGCACAAAAGACTACAAGGGCAGGCTCACCATCGGGCCACAGCCTCGGTTTATATTTTCCGTGGCAAACTGATTGCTCTCAACCAGAGTTTAGAGACAGATGTCTGCAGCGCCTACGGTTCTTCTAGGGGGTGCACTGGAGCATCTGACCCTTGGGTTTTTCTTTTTCCTCCAAACATTTTCCAGCACTGCGGCCGGCCGGCCCGTGGCCCTGAGCGCGCCCGCGTGTGCTCCCACACAGCCCACTTCAGACCCAGGGGCTGTTGGTTCTGTAGAGAGCACTGCTCGTCCCCAGCCGGTAAACGAGCACAGGCCTGGGGACAACGGAGAGCCCCGCACCCTGGTGTCTGGACATCCCCATGCACCTGGCCCTGGGGCTTACTTCCGGAGGCGGGGGGCGGGGAACAGCAGGACTCCGCCTCCTGGGGGGCGGGAAACAGCAGGACTCCGCCCATCTCAGAGGCCGTGTGGAGTTAGAGCAGGGTTTTCCGATGACCGCAGACAGAAGCATTTTTCCATTTCGCAATTCGAGAACGAGTTTTATTTTTTTGTCTCGCTCGTCACCTCCTCAGCACGATATAAAAGTAAAAATAGTTTCATCACCCAGCAAAGAGTGACAGCTTGTCAGGGACGCTGGAGGCAGCTAGAGAACCCGGGCCCGCCGCACTCGGACCACCCCCCCTTCTGTTTCCAAGTCACACGCACGCGCAGAGAACACATTCTCCGGACGTGTCACCCTCGTATCCGTCCTAGGCCGGATTCGCCAGGACGTGTGTCAGATAATCCTGGGCAAGATGCGAGCCGCGCCAGAGAAGAGAAGCAGGCCTTGACTGAGGTGCTCCGGCCAGGCCTGGCTGCTGTCCTTGAGGCCAGGCCTGGGTCCCACGGGTGAGCCGGAGACACCTCAGGGTGCGAGCAGGGCACGCAGCCTTCCTGGAAAACACGAAGGGGGTCTCGAGACTTTCTACCTACCTGTGACCTCGCCTTCATTGTTTTAATAGAGTTTTTTTGGGAAAAGGCATTTTTGAAAAGTTTGTCTTGCACTGTATTTATAAATAGTTCAGTTTTACCATAAGGAAATCCCCATCCCCGTGTTAGTGACTGACTCCGTGTTTTGCAGCGCTAGAGAAATAAACCAGGAGAGAGGAAGGTGTTCTGAGCACACAGGACCCTCCACACCTGCTGAAAACCTGCGGTTCTAGGAGGCCGACTATGGGCTCATTCCCATCTCGGGAGGGCATGGCAGCTGGACAAGTGCCGCCTGTGACCGTCTGGCCTTTGCTGCATTTAGGGGGTGTTCCCCAGGGACCTATCTTGTCACCACTCCACTTTCAGAGCCAAGAACTGCGGGCATGGAACACACGCCGGACGGCCTCTCCTGGGGCCCTCTCTTGCCGGCCTACGGCTTGGAGGGCAGTGGATAAGGCAGGAGGAGAGGGAGGCCCGGAGGTTGGGCGGCTCCTGCCTTGGCCTTGGCGTAATTGTGCAGGTGCCTTCAAGGATCAATGACCAGCCTCCTTGCACAAAATGGCCTGTTCGGAGCCGTAACTGACCCTTTAAAGAAGCATTTGAGATGGGTCTGCCCTGCAGAGTCATACCCTCTGGCATCAAGCTCCATAGGTCTTCATAGAACAAACGCGGAGGAACATGGGACAGGCCATGGTCCAAGGTCAGGAGGGGTCCATGCCTGCCAAGCGCTAACCCAGAGGAGGGAGGGAGCCAGCGAGCAGACGAGGCCCTCGAGGGCAGCAGGTGCCAGGCGACCATGGGATGGTTGGGGTGCACGAGTTTGACGGGTGTCCTGGCATCTGGGACCCGAGTGCCGCAGGCCCTTTAAAGCCTCCGCTGGTGAGAGCAGCACAGAAATGAGCATGCCAGGACGTGTGTGTCACGGGCCCTGGGAACCAGCTGCTCCCGCAGCTGTCCAGGGTCCCTGGGGTCCAACCAGCCAGACACACAAGGCAGCATGGCAGTTATGGTGCTGAGGAGGGCGTCATGGAAGGGGCTTCTCCGCCATGGCAAGCTGTCCAGAGAGGCCTGGCTCATACAGCCGGACCCTGGGACCCAGCACTCCTCCAGACATGCGCCTGACGGCGGCGCTCCAGGCCTGCACACAGCACCAGGACGTTTTAAACGGAAACACATTCCTTAGAAAGGACTGTGATGTCACCCACCCTGTTGTTGAGGTCAGCAATACGGAAAAATGCTCAATGTGGGTGAACATGAGAGCCGATGCGGTGGTACTGTGTACACACACCACGTGCCCCCACACACGCATGCACACACGGGTGCACACACAGGCACACTCATGCACACACATACACAGGCATGAACACACGCACTCACACAAGACACACTCACATGCACACACAGGCGCACAGAAGCAGTCATGCACACGTGCACACAGGCGTGCACACATGCACTCAACTAAAAGGAAACACAGCATAGTGCCCGCCCTGGTTGTGTAATCATAGACGCTGGCATCCTCACTGCACCTGCTCCTAGAGCCTCGGGTGGGGAATGCGTGCTCACTGCCGCCCTGGGCAATGAGCGTTCACAGGCCGCCCCAACTCTGAGCAGCACAACTGAATCGAAAGGGAAACAAAGAAGCAGATCCTTTCCGTTGGAAACAAAATCGTAACTGTCCCTGAGGTATCCTATTAGGAAGTAAGAGCTAGAAGCAGAAAGAGTAACAAAATGGCAAAGTTGGCATGAAGTTTCTGATGGTTGAAACCAAGAACACAGAGATGGGATAAACAGAAAGGGTAGAGCCAGGGGCTGAGTGAGCGAAGATGAAGCCGACAGCGGGCCACCTGTCGTACAAGGAGGCAGGGACCAGAAATTGCAAAATAAAGGGAACAGTGGAGAGAACTAGAGGCTGGAAGCAGGGAGGCTGAGTCCAGACCACAGACGTCCTGGCGGGTATTTACACAAATAAGAGAGAGATCTCATTGTAAGAAAAAAAACACAACACGAAAGACTGAAGGCTGATGGGTTCTACCAAATGTAGAAGGGGACACACTTCAGAAACACTGACGGAGGCGCCGGCGTGGGTCAGTTGGTGAAGCATCGGGCTCTTGATTTCCCCTCAGGTCATGATCTCAGGGTCGTGGGATCGAGCCCCACGTCAGGCCCCACGCTCAGCCCAGACTCTGCTTGAGATTCTCTCTCTGCTTCTCCCCCACCCTTGCTCTCTAAAATAAATAAATAAAATCTTTTAAAATAAAAGAATTAAAAACAATGGCAGATACATGATGGTGAATTTGTAAAATATCAAAACTTCGAGAGAGAAAGAGCAGGTCCCAGATGCGGAAACAAGCGTGGAGCGGACTCCACAGGATGTGACCATGACTCTGGACGCGGGAAGGACAAAGGAATGACAGCCGGGAGTTTTACAGTCAGTCACATTGCCTTTGAAGGCAAGGGCGTGAGAAATAGTTTCAGGTGCTGGGGACCCGGGGACATGCTGTCCCGGAGAAGCACACTGATGGGCATTTTGGAGGAAGACCCAGTGTGGGAGCCTACGAGTCCTGAGGTTGAAGGTAGAAGCTGGAAGGGGGCGAACGGAGTAACAAACCAAGATGCCGTGAACGGGTCCCACGGTCAGCAATCTGGAGTCAGTGATTGTCCAGCGGCACCAGCGCTGTCCCCCGCCCCTTCACCTCCCAGGACAGCGGGCACTGTCTGCAGAGGTTTCTGACTTCACCCCTGGAGGGTCCCCTGGTATGCAACAGGTGGACGCCAGGGGTGCTGCTAGGCTTCCCAAAACAGGACAACCCTTCCACGAGGAATTATCCCTCCTAAAATGTCGCTCGTGAGGAGATTTAGGAACTCATGGAAACCGATGTTAAGATTTGCCAGTTGAACAGACAGAGGCAGGTTCGTTTGCTGAAAGTCAAGATGTACTTGGTTACAACAGACAAGGCTAAATGTTAGAGGGTAGAAAAGTGATATCAGAAAAAACTAGCCAAAATAAAGGAGAGCAGCTCGTACCATCAGAACAAATAGATTTTAAGCCAGACAGTGGTTAACTGGAGGTAGGGAAAGTCACTACAAGATAACAAGAGGTAAGTCAACCAGGAGTAGCTAGCTGTTCCAAACACCTGTGCACCTAATAAGATATCTTTCAATGATCTTATTTGAAAATTAATACGATTACAGGAATTTTTGCCCTGTCTTCATTATTGATTGTTAAACAGACAAAAATAAAATAAAATAAAATAAAATAAAATAAAATAAAATAAAATAAAATAAAAT